GAATATATATATGTATATGTATATGTATATATATATATGTATGTGTGTGTGTATATATATATATCAATTGATCAATTATGTGTATATCAAACAATATTTATCTGCTAAACACCATGTTAGGTACTGAGGATACAAAATTAAACATGAAATTGTCCCTGCCTTCAAGGAGCTTATACTTTATTATAGAGATGACACATCCACATATGAGAGTATATGTAGACGAGGAAAGGGATAAGAACTGGAACTTTGATTTCTCCTAAGAATTCTCTGTCTACCAGTGTAGGCCTGAACCTTCTCTGCAACTGGTATTCTTAGACATGCCTCTAGCACTGAAAGGTGAAATGACTTACTTGGAGTCACACAGCTGGTGTGTGTTGGAGGTGGGATTTGAAACCGGGGTTTATTGGGTCTAAGTACAGCTCTCTAACAATTAAGGTTATGCCTTTGAGGTATATTTCGAATGTGCACAAAACAAATATAAGAAAGTTTTTGGAGAAAGGGTGGTGGCAACTGGGATGAAGGAAAGCTTCATGTAGAACTTTACACTTGAACTGTATTTTGAATAAGGCAAGGGATTCTAGGAGGCAGAAAGGAGGAGTTATTATTATCATCAGTGATGAAGATGACAATAATGAGCAGAAGCAGCAGGGTGGCATAATGAAGACTCAGTCTTTGAGTCAGGGTGACCTATTTTTGAGTTTCACCTCCGACCCATACTAGTTGTATGAATTCGGGCAAGTCACTTAACCTTGCAATTTAACCTAGGCAACTCTCGATGATTCTAACTTGTAGAGCAGTTGCAAACCTACACTGGTAGATGGGATTTCCTCATCAAGGAATACTTTTTACCCATGAAATAACAGGGTGTGTCATTAATACATACATACATACTTATACATATATATGTACATACAAAAACAGGTATGTATTTGTATAAACAATAATATATTATGATTTATTCCACCTAGATTATTTATGATTCTCCTTGGTTCTAGAACATCTATAGACTTAGATGGCATTGAGTTAATGTTAAATTATTATTTCTTACATTAGTGTATAAATATATTCGTGGAGGATATAAGCCATGTGTGGGGCCAGGGATGCCAAATCTTGAGGTTACTAGGAAAAATAATGGATGACAACATGAACCAAAACAGAAGACTGATCCATGTAAACCCACAGCCGGACTTAGATTCATTTGAGCTCCTTGTGTTCTCTCCTCAATCTGAATTTTCATTTCCTTGAGGGAAGGACTCATGTGACTTCTGTAGGTGACTTTTCATACATTATCTTCCCATCCTATCTGGGAAGTACCTGGTTTGGTCCTAAGTTTTTTTCTTTATTTCAGATATTTAATTTTTAACACTACAATAATCTGGACACTTTCACCAAATGGTAAGATTACAAGGCATTTTTGTGGTTTGGGAGTCTCTTTTCTACTGATCATCTCAGTGTGGATTATAACTTCATCAGAAGAGTCCCCTTGTGGTATGAAAAAAATACAAATGTATTTTTCTGGTAAAAAAATTTCAACAGGATGGAGCTTAGAACTATTGATACACATGAAGTTTGCATATTATCTGCATATTTATGCTATTCAAGTCCTCCTCTTTTCTAACTGTACAAAGAATGACATAGCTGTGTATATTGTGTGCCATGTGTTGGCATAGTATCTGCTGCCCACTTGGAAGAACTTATGAAGAGTTTAAAGTTCCTTTTGATCAACCACATGTCATCTGGAAATGAGCAGTCCTATTTTACTAATAGGGCAGTGAGGTGGCACAGTGGATAGAATGTCAAACCTAGAATCAGGAGGAACAGAGTTCAAATCTGCCCTCAGACTCTTACTAGCTATGTGAACTTGGGCAAGTTACTTAACCCTGTTTGTCTCAGTTTTCTAATATGAATGAGCTGGAGAAGGAAATGGCGAACCAATCCAATATCTTTGCCAAGAAAATTCCGAACGGGGTCACAGAGTCAGACATGACTAACTGACTAAACAACAACAAAATTTTATTTATAGGGATGCCCTGTAACAGAAACTTTAAGTTGTTTGACACTACAGTCACTACATTCCATTACCCACACTTTGTCTCACTACATGCTGACTCCTCCATTGAACAGGCATTGTAAACCCTTAGAAAACACAGTTACAATAACTACCACACATGCACAAAAAAAAAGGAAAACTATGAAGTTTTGCCTGAATGTTATTGGGTCAATAAAGTGTTAAGGAAGTTTGTCTTCAATGATCATTTCAAAGTTGTCTGTTTCTGACAAACATGTACTATTTTCATGTTCTGTGATCATGAGCCTTTCACAAAGACTTTAATTATCCTAGAAGAACTGTTTAAATAAGCATTGCTAGAAAGTCTAAAAATCTAAGATTAAAATGGGAAAGGGTATCAGAAATGGTTCACTGGGTATGTTCAAATTATTGTATAATTATCTGATCTGTTATATATACTTTGTAAAAAATCTTTTACTGAATTACTCCAGTTTTCTGAATGTAATTGGCCTTGAACTTTCCACTTTAATGAAACTCTACATAAGAAAAATTGCTACATTAAAAAAGTATTTTCAAGAACAGTATGTTCAACTAATAAGTCTCTGTTTTCTTTTCTGAGTGTGTGATTACTTCCACCACTAGTGAAGGCACAGGTCTTTTCTTTTGTGTACCTTAAATCTGTGTGGAATTGGAACATGATTTACAGCAGATGACCCTGTAGCATATAAAAATAATTTACTGTGCTGTGTATCTTGGGCCCTTTAAATCAATAAAGGAACCATAGAGACATCTCAATTAAACAAGTGCTGGCATGGTAAGATCTGCCCTTGCCTTGCCTATATTCTCAAAATGACAACTATTCTGAAGAAATGCTTGGTTTGAAGTTACATAAAAATGCCCACATTATTTTAAGTTGCTGACATAACATGATAGTTCCCATCAAACTCAGTGAAAAATAGAACATGGCCTTGTATAAGTAATGGCCTGGGAGGGCTTAGACACACATTTGTTAAAGTATTGATCTCTGCATTTCTATAACACCTCTCATTACCTTGGGTATACCAGGTGTTTTGACAGCATGTTAAATGACCATACTGAGCATCATGACATAAACTAAACCTTCTAGTCCTGTGTATTCCAATCACTCCCTGAACCAAGTTAACTAAGGGTACAGATTTTTGATCTAAATGAAGCCAAGGCCAGATAGTCTAACCCTGATCTTAGCTTCTTCTTGTACTGAATGTAAGGGACTTTAGCCATTCTGGAATAATGCAGCTCATCTTCCACTTCCAGAAAAGAATAGCATGGCTCTGTCAATTTACAGTTACCTTGTAAGGCATTCAAAATAGCTCCTCATACATTGTCATTAGAAATACTCTCAAGAGGAAGAATGAAACAGGTTGTCATTTTCCTGACTTTACAGGTGGTAAAGAGGAGACATGGAAGAGTCAGTAGTCTGTCTAAGGTAACACAAAAGGCGAACAAAGACTCAAACTCAAATTTATTAAATCACAGGAAAGTTTGCACTCTCTTTTTAAGATAAGAAATACAAGCAGTATATTATAGGATAAAGAATACAGGATTTAGAGAGAGAAGTCTGAAGTTCAGATCCTTTTTCTAATGTGTTTGATTTTTTATATGGCACTTTACCTTTCTGGGACTTTTATTTGTCCATAGATAAAATGAACACGTTAGAGGTATTATGGCATAGTGAATACAGCATTGGACATGTAGTCAGAAAGACCTCAGTTTGAATCCTATCTCGGACATTTACTAGATGTGTTACCAGGACAAATCACCCAATTTCTCTGAGCCTTAGTTTCCTTATGTTTAAAACTGCTAAGATCCCTTCCATCTCTAATTCTATGATCTTTATAAGAGGGTTGCTACAATGGATGCAATATACTAGACCTTTCCCCCATGCAAGTTTTTTTTTTTTCCTTAAAGGGTATCAAAATCATCCCTAAGACCTTGTTTTCCTTATCCAACTTTTTTCCCCAAAAAGTATTGAAATCATCCATAAGACTTTGTTGGATCAAGGACTAAAGGCTCCAGGTATTGACTTCCTTTCCTGGTTGCCTGAGTAGAAATAGACAAAAGAAGTTCTTCTCTCTCTCTCACTCAACAGTAGGAGAGCTTCAATTCTTTCCCTTGTTGTGATTCAATAAATCTCCTTTTGTTAACTGCTAAATTACCTACAAATGTCTCATTTTATAACAATATCAATTCTAATCTACCAGTCACACCCATCCCAAAATAGCTTAGACAATCTCTAAGGTCCCTTCCATCTCTAATCCTATGATTCTCTTCACTCCATGATTTTAATCTTGTCCTCTCCCAGTCATGTATAATGAAGGATTGGAAGCCTTTGACGACAAGAGAATGAAATGCAAAACATAGTTGAATATTCAAGACTCTTTCAAATTAGTGTTATCTCTTATAAAGAGGGCAACTCTATGATTTTGTTTCCTTCTCCTACAGAAATTAGCCTTTTATGCTTTGAATAATGTAACTTCTAAAATGACAGGACCTATTCTTTCCCACCTTGTCTGAAAGTATTAGCAGTCTAGACTGTGATATCATGCCCAAATTGTTATCTTCACACATACAATGGCATAAAGTCTTGTAGAATTTGCAGATTGTTTAAACGAAAAGCATCAAATGAAGCAAAATCAATCAGCATCAATGAGGTACCAGGCTCCATATTTGAGTTATAACTTAAGGCCTAAGTCAAACACAACTGAATGATACCAGAAGGATGACCCTAAGCAGCCAAAGCACAAAGGGGTAGGTAACAAAAAGATCTGCCCTGGCACGCAATGATCTCAAATGAAATGAGATTATATAACAATATATGCAGATATAAACTTGTAACTCAAATGACCCATTTCACTGGGAACAAATAATGCTTCTTCCCTTCTCCCTCAAATTAGTCACCTCACAGACCAGACGCCTTGTGAAATGATCTATCCAGATTGCTCATGAAGTATACCTTGAAAACTGCTGTTGCAGGCCACGCATTTGAACTCTGCTTCGCTCAGACTCCAATGTCACCTCCCGTAACCGTTTTTCACTTTGAATTCTTAAGTTTCTCTCTTCCTCCAATTCATGTATCAGCTTCTCATGCTGGAATGGCACAAAACAAAGGTTTTTAGATGATGAAGAATTTCTTGAGGCATATGGTAAGGTGAAACAATACACAAGTCACTGAACAACAATCACACATTAGATGTATCAATGATTAAAGTAACATTTGTTAATGGTTTAGAACTGTATGACTTTTAGATCCTTCTAGAAGTGAATCTAGATGGACAGATTCTGCTCTGGCAGTATCCCATAAAATATGAAAAGAACTTCCACTTAATTTAGCCTATGAAGGATTCATTGAATCACATGGACAAGTATTACAGAGGATAAGTACATTCATTGATGTGTTATGATGTGTACCAGGGGAGGGAGCACTGAACCAAATGTTTGAGAACATGAAAAAGTGTTGAGTCAGCAAAAATACTATAAACTAAAATCTGTAGAGCAAAATTTGCCAACGATTCCATAATATTGATACACGGATTAGCATGAAAGATTATTGGCAAAAAAATCATTGAACATGCTCAAGACCTCTTATACTAGCTCAGCATTTCTACTTTTAAAAAGGAAGATTATTCATTATTACATATGAGCCAGTTAATTCAGCTGGCTAGTCTACAATGCTAATGAGGTATGAGTCCTAGATTAAATCTTTCTAAGGTCCATTAAGGTTAATACAGAGAAAATAATGAATTACATAACCACACATTATACAAGTAAGTCTAGTTTTCTGTCTCATCCTGCAGAAAGTGCCAGGGGTTACAAGAAGGATTAGGAAAAGCATGAATGATTCAGCCGTATATTTGTACATTAAAAAAAAACAGCATACTGTTTTTTTTTTCTGTTTTGAATGGTGAGTTAGTAATGTCACTTTCCTTTATGAAGGGCAGTGAATTGCTATCATCTTGAGTTTTAGTAAGTGAAACAGTCCTATTTCCCATTATATACAGCAAAGATGTAACACCTAACTATGATGAGCTGACATTTGAAATGTCAGAGAAAAAAGAAAACATAAAGGTCAGAAAACTAGTAGTCTATACATTCAGTTAGCAATGATGGGGCAACTCATATCAAGTAGATTCACAGATTCCCAGGATGCCAGGTCAACAGGCAAATTCTCTTCCCTCTACATCCTGGAGAAATTCTCTCCTAAGAGCCAACTAAGTATTGCCAGAATATCTTGATTATAGGAAGAACATTGGGCTTAGAGTCAAAAGTCTTATTTCTGATATTGGTTGTGTGACCTTAGGTAATTTGCTTAATCTATCTATGCCTCAGTTTCTTCATCTGTAAAAAAGAAGATACTATCTGCACTATCACATAAGATTATTGTCAAAAAAGGCATTTGAAGACCTTAAATCACTATACATCATGTCCCAAAAGATTTAGTATAGTTTTAAGTTACTAAAGCATATGAGAAGGCTATTAAAACTTGAAATAGCACTGACTTTTGTAATACCCTGTATATTGTTATTGTTTTCTAAGATGACCCCCTGCGTTTTGAACATGACACTCAGGCATTCCCACTGATGCTTCTTGGTCACAGCATTCCTCCTGTTTGGCATACCCTCTCTTATCCATATCCTTCAAGAATCAGTACAAATTCTCCTTTCATGAGTCCTCCCTTATATCACAGCTGAAAGGGATTTCTCTTTCCTCTGTACTCTACTAACACTTCCTGTTTATAATACACTTCAGTGACACCTAATTTAGCTTAAGCATCTTTTTTTTTTAAAGTTTATGTCTTAGATTGCAAGTTTTTGACACCCAATGTTTCATACTTCCTTCTATCACTTAGGCTATTCTGCACAGGGTCTTTTATATAGTGGATGTTCAAAATACATTTGTGGGTCTGACTCAATTCTGGGGATAATCATTCCCTAACCCTGACTTCCCACCCACACCCTCATCCTTCAAATACAGCAGCATTTTTTCACACTCACTACTTCCATCACAAATAGAGTAAGGGGATCACATTTACATCCTGTTATTTATGAGCTTTGGTTTAATAAAAAGTTTGGAAAAGAAAGTTGTAAAAAAGAAAGATGGAAACTTTAAGAAATCTAATAGCTAATATGGGAATTTCAATTTTCAGTGCTGCACTGGTCCATTCCCATTAGTATAGATTATGAAGTCTTTGGTACACACACAGACTTAATCAATGGCATTTGGTAATGAATATCAGTGGCCTTTATATGGCTATAGTGGAACAAGTGCAAAAAGCAGGTAATCAACCAAGTCAAATACAAATCTCATGAATGACGGAGAACCTGGCACAGGAAGTAGTATCGACATTTCTTTTGATAGTAAAAGATAACATATAGATCTACTCAGTAAGTACAAAGACACTTCCTTGCAACCTGATTCAAATTTTAAATTACTAATACACTTCCATAAGAAAGTACTTTCTGTTCAGTAATTTAATGATAATTAAAAATACACAGATATTGTAAACAAACTACATCAGGGCACATTGAGGATTATAGAAGTTGTTGAATTCATAAGGGCCAAGGTTATTTACTAAAACAGATTCCCTGAAAATTTTAGCACAGTTGCCGTCATCATTACAATTTGCTGATAATCCATGCAATCACCTACTCTTTCCTTCCATCCTCTAAGTTTTTTTATTCAAAATATAAGCCATGACTTAAAACCCCAAGTGAAGTACTAATTGCTTCACCCAAATGGTGCTAGCCAGCATTGAATAATTGCAATGACTGTTTTTGTTCTTAGGGAACAGATGGTAAAACACATTTCCCTACACTTAGTAGACAGGGCGACTGTGTATACATAATGTCATCTATACTGTTAGACATTGTCAATTTGTTTAAATGCTTTTCTTTGCTAATATTTAGAATTGGAAGGGGTAGTGTGTCGAAAAATTTCTTGTGTTAGAAAGCAAAAAGTATCAGTCAATCAGCAATGATTAAGGCATTTAATACATGCCAGAGAACTTACTGGGTGCTGTAGAGTCAAAGAACGCAGAGAAAGGGTCCTTACCCTAGAATCTTAGATGCCAGTTGGAGACACAACAAGAGCATACATGGGTATATACAAAAACTTTACAAAACACATGTAGCAATAAAACTTTCTTAAACATGGTGTTTGCAGGAGTCATAGCATGATATTAAATTATCTTCCCTATCTCATCTAGAATGTGATGAGAGAGAGAAAATACATACATATATATATATATATTTGAGTATTGATGTATTGTATTAGTGTATAACCATAATGTTTTAAAGAGAAAAGTAAAACTTATCATAGAGACCTGGGTTGCACATTTCAAAATGGTATATTCCTTTCATGATTTCTCAGTAGGTAGAAGCGTTGGGCTAGAAGAGATATTCAGGAGTCGTCTAGTATAGCCTTAAAATGATTCATTTAAATACCACATCTACAATATCCCCACTAAACTTGGCAAGATAACAACTAATTATTCTGCTTCATTTGTCTTCCTCCTTTGGGATTCCTATATCACTAGGCTATATGTATTGACAGTGTCCTATGGGCTATTTCAATGAGGTAACAGGAAAGTAATGTTTGCAGGAAGAACTCATCATAATCTTAAGGTTAATTTGGATTAACTTTCTAAGCATTTACTTCCACTTTGGATTACAAACGCTTGTTTGAGGTGTTTTCTGGTCAAAAGCCCTCTATCATTGGATATTTCCTATTCTATGTTGGTGTTAAAAAAATAAATATTTTACTGATGCCTTTTGCTTAGTGTCAGTAAATTCACAGTACTCATTTTCATGCCAAAGTCACTTTCCTTAAGTGAAGATCTGACCATTTTATTATCATATTCAACTAACTCCTATAACTTCCCATTGTCTCTAGGATAAAATATAAACTACTTTATTTTGCTCTGCAAAGACCTACACAGTCTGGCCTTAACCTATTTTTTCCAGCCTCATTGGATGTTACTTTCTTCTCAATACTTGAAATCTAACCAAACTAGCCTTTTCTTTGTTCCTCACATGAAATATTCCAATTCCCATCCCTGTCTCTTTGTATTGGCTGATCCATATCTCTAGAACACATTCATTCTTATTTCTGCCTCACTAAATCCCTCTTTTCCTTTAAGATTCTGCTCAGGAACCATGTTCTGCACGAACACTAAACTGCTAGGACCTTCCTTCAAAACTTCCTTTTAAAAAAACAAACAACTTTCTATATATTTATATTTCTTAACTATACATTTATTCTTAGTAATCAGTAAATAAGCATTCATTAAGTGTTTACTATAAACTAAGCACTATGCTAAGAATTAGAGATACAAAGAAAAGCAAAAGACAAGTCACTCCTAACAAGGAGCTGCCAATATAATGGGGGAGACAAGGCACAAACAAACTATTCAGGGAATAAATTGGAAATAATCAACAGAAGGATGTAGAGTTAAGAGGAATGGATGGGAATGTGTATACATACATATATATGTATATAGAACCTTTTTGATTTAGTAAATAATCAACAAAAATATTTGACACACCCATATTTGCATGTTTATTTATAAAGTACATACATGTAATATTTTTCTTTTAAATAGTATTTTATTTTTTTCCAATTCCACAAAAAGACAATTTTTAACATTCATATTTTTATAAAATTTTGAGTTCCAAATTTTCTCCCTCCTCCCTAAGATGGTAAGCAATTTAATATAGTTCGTATATGTGCAATTTACATGTAATGTTCTATAACAATTATATATCATAAAGCTTAATATAATTTTTAATGAGATAAAGATGAAATAATATTTGCTTCTTCTATCAACAAGGAATCAAGAGCGTTTATTGAATAAGAGAGGGATGTAGTCAGACTGGGCTTCAGGAAAATTATAGTAGCAGCTGTGTGGAGAATGGATCAGAAAGAAGAAAATTCTGAGGAAGGGGGCTCAATTAGAAAGCTATTTCAACAGTCCATGTGAAAGATTATGAGGACCTGAACTAGGATAGTGGCTGCATGAGTAGTAAGAGACAGGGAGAGCAAGGGGATACATGTAGAGGCAGAAATAAATGGAGTCAATTGATTGGATATGT